GAGGCCATCGCTATTAGGTTGAGGCCAACGCCAGGTCGGAGGCCATCGCTATTAGGTTGAGGCCATCGCTAGGTCGGAGGCCATCGCTATTAGGTTCAGGCCATCGCTAGTAGGTCGGAGGCCATCGCTATTAGGTTGAGGCCATCGTTAGGTCGGAGGCCATCGCTATTAGGTTGAGGCCATCGCTAGGTCGGAGGCCATCGCTATTAGGTTGAGGCCATCGCTATTAGGTTGAGGCCATCGCTAGGTCGGAGGCCATCGCTATTAGGTTGAGGCCATCGCTAGTAGGTCGGAGGCCATCGCTATTAGGTTGAGGCCATCGCTAGGTCGGAGGCCATCGTTATTAGGTTGAGGCCATCGCTAGGTCGGAGGCCATCGCTATTACCTGGATCGCGAAAGTTGCCTGTTTAAAAGGTAAACTTTGAATAGTTGCATGTTTCTGGCTTCACTTTCTCAGATACCCAACAAAAATCGTACACTTTCTAATATTGACACTTCCCATCGCTGCCTTCAGGTTCCCCGCGTGCCCAGGCACCTCTGAAGGTCTGTTTTCTTCAGCATGAGCAAGGCTCAAAGGGCATGTGGCATCCTACAATAGATAAACTGAAGCAAAACAAGTCACGTTGACAGGTGCCAACGACGAACCTGTAGACCATGTAGGAAAGTTGCTTGCACTTTGTATGACAACTTTGTATCCATATCCTGTATGCCCATGGAAGCACGACGGACCCTGCGGCTGAGAGATCGATGAGGACTGGGACAGTAGCGTTTTCGACAAGAGGGGTTGTCTCTGTGAAGGTAAGTATAGAACAGTTCCGTCATTTTTGTTCAATCGACCTCTTGAGCATGCAGGATGGAGGAAGCAAGTATTTCCTCACTCTCAATGCCCAGTACGGCTGGCATGTTCTTCTCAATGAATCGCCAATCCTGCCACGGGCAATGTTTGATCCATGCTCATGTTTGGGCATGTTGGATTAACATGTTTCTTTGCCATATACATATGAAGCAGCGAACACCTGTGCATCACCATGCAACTATTAAAGGCTCTGCGGTGTGCGCTGAACTCGAACTAGTCTGAGGGTTGGTTTGGCAATGGCAGCAGCCGGCCAGCTAGCAGCAGCATGGGAAAACAACAGGGTCATTCGCCACAGGCTTATGAAGCAAAAGTTCTTTTTGCAGTGGCCATCTACATCTGCGCCAGCAGAAACCCAGGAGGAGGAGATCGAACCAGCTCACCCGGTTTGCACACAAGCTTTGGAGTTGAATGTTGATGTTCTGACTGTGATGGTTGACGAGCTAGATGGCCAGTTCATCAGCATTGATGACCTCAAACCTGAGGCCGAAGTCTTTGTTTCAGTGTCCACTAGAGTTGAGGGAGTAAGGAAAGAGTTGAGGTGTGCTTACTATAGCTGTCCATGTGTATATGACCCATCACCCATGCATGTATTTCATCCACAGAATGCATGCAGGTGAAGAAACTGTTTGAAGACGTTAACTATGAGCCTGGAGCACGCGAAGTCTACATAGCAGCCTGGGACCTGCGCCAGCTCTATACCTTTGCATTTCGTCGACAAAACGACGCTGCCAAGAGAAACCAGCGACCCCGGGACTGCAGCGGTCAAAGATATAGCTGTTTTTTGTTGCCAGCATGTTCGCTTTTCTTTACATGTTCCCTC